TCTCCACCTCCCTTCACACATCTACACCCAACTCCACCTCCGTTCACGCACACACCATCCCATCTATACCTCCCTTCACCCACCCCCATCCTAATATTTCACTCATGTGTCAACTGATAAAATGAGAGGCAAAATGGCAACCTGCATTTTTTACAGGCTCTCACACTGGAGGAGTCAGGCCCCAGTGAGCAGTAGAAATAAAGCGAGCTTTCTGCAGGAACCACTGTCAGGAATCAGTCTAAGTTCCACAACTGCATTTGACACTTTGGAGTTTGCAACATCCTCGTTTGGAACCCACAGTTTGATAAGCCCAATTTAGGTGGGAAACAAGGTCTTATTAAGCAGACAATTATCAGTCACCTGTACGATGTCTTCTGGGGAAATTTCCAGGAAGTTGGCTCTCGGGTGAACTCGAAATGGAAAGATTGAGGAGAGTCCTTCTTCAACTTCTGATGTGTTATTGTTTGTTACCTTGGCTGCTTAGATGATTTGCAGCTAGTTCAATGCCTTTCTTAAGGAGCACTGTTGCAGGACTTTTTTTTTGCTTTTATTTTAAAAGCAGGCAACAAAATAGCTTCTTTGTCATGGAACTTGTACATGTTCAATGTCTTTTTTCCAAACAAGGTCTATTGTACATCTGGACTTGTGGCTTTGTTTCGAGATTTAACCAGCTTAGTTTGGATGTGTGAAGCCATCATAGTGCAATTAATGGTCAGTTGGAACTATCGTTAACATTTGTGTAACACACAGTGAGTTTCGATGTTTCTTTTGTCAGTGGTAAAACTGGCAGAGATGCTGGCTGGACTGCTGTTCCTTTTTTACTGTTGATCCAACCTCAATTAAAAAGGGTATGCATATTCCCTGCATGGCTGTGAATGTTTACGTTTAATTTGCTATTTGCTTAAGACTCCAGTTTCTGGAGCTCGGAATGCCAAAGGACCTATAGTTTGTAGTGTCCTTTTTATTCTTTGTGTTCAAAATTTAAAAGTATTGACTAGAACTTCAGAGCATGCCGCAACATGATAAAGTTCTCTTGATTGGCCTCCCATCTACACAAAACTGGCTGAAAGGTTAAGACTTGAGAGAGTCGGGGAATTTATTTGTGTATGATTCTTTTGTGTGGATCTGTTTTCTTTTACACAGACGTCATTCATAATCATTTAACAAAAATAACAGCAAGTATTAATGACTGGTGCAGTTGATGATTGTAGCACAGTGTATGTAAAGACTTCATGTTTCACTTTTTTTTTATTTTCTAGGAAGATCCCACATTGGACCGGCACTTTAAAGGTCATCGTGACACTGTCACAAGTATTGACTTCAATGCTAACATGAAACAGTTAGGTAGGTTGCATTTCTTGAATAAGTATCAGTTTATAATCTTTTAGGAGATCTATAAAGTTAGGGAACCAGGTAGGTGACATTGTGTCCTTGTGGAGAAGGCACTGAGTACTTCGAGAACTCAAGCTGCCTTGAAGAAAAG